CTGAGATGTTTATATTCATCCATATTAGTTACAATTCTCTTCTCTAGAAATGTACTTACAAAACATACTTTTCTATGAAGGGGAAATAAATCTGTCTCTGTTTTCTAACATGTAAAAGCCATAAATACAATACCAGAAATTATCTTCTTTAGCAGAGAGTATTTCTACTTTGAAATCTTGAGCACTGGTAAATATAATAATTTGTGGACTCTGTCACCAACTTATATGGACAGACTTTGTTATCACTAATTCTGAGCTCTCCATCATGCATCTTATTTCCTATAATCTTTCTTGCTTTTACCCAGAGCCTCCAAAGTCAGGGAAAGAATAGTCTATTTAATAATTCCATGTTATAATTCTCACAAAGTTTTCATGCTATCTACACAGAAACTATGTATTTTTACAATTCAGAAGAACTACTCAGGCTATTTATAAGGTTTTATTTCAATTTAAAATAAATGAAAACCTTGATTAGGAGAACATACAACTGGACTGTGACAAGTATTTTAATTTTAAAATAGTTATGTTTATGAATAAAAACTTAATCCAGGATAGGCATTTCATTTAAAAAGTACCTGGTCATTTTTTAAAGAAAGGTTTTAAGGGACCATAAACAAGTTAGAACTGCTGTCAGCACCAATCTGTGGCCTGGCCTCAAAGCTCTGCCACCACCCCCCACCACCCACCCCATGGAAAAATTGTCTTCCATGAAACTTAGGAATGGGGAACAGGGTAGGGGGGCCGCACAACAGGAGGTGAGGCAAGCAAACGAAGCTTCACCTGTATTTACAGCCGCTCCCCTCCCCATTGCTCATTAGGGAGAGGTGAGTTAGACCATTGTCTTCTATAAAATGGTTAACTTTTAATAGAAAGAGTACTCAGATATTTTGTATATTAACATGTTCATTGCAACATTATTCACAATAGCCAAAAGATGGAAGCCACCCACCCAAATATCCATTGATAGATCAACAGATAAACAAAATGTGGTATATATATACAATGGAATATTATTTAGCCTAAAAAAAGGAATGAGATTCTGATATATGCTACAACATGAATGAACCTTGAAAACATGCTAAGTGAAATAAGCTAGTAATATAATGATGAATATTGTATAATTCCACCTGATATAATGTACATAGATTAGTAAAATTCAGAGAGAGAGAAAGCAGAATTTATTGCCAGGGCCTGGGGGAAAGGGGCTGGGAAGTTAGTGTTTAATGGGTACAGAGTTTCAGTTGGGGAAGATAAAAAAGTTTTGGAGATGGATAATGGTGATGGTTGTACAACAATGTGAATGTGCTTAAGGCCATATAACTGTACACTTAAAAATGGTTAAAATGGTGAATTGTATGTTATGTATATTAATATTTTACCACAATAACAAAGAAAACACATAGCTGAGTAACATTCTGAAAACTGAACAGTCTCTCAAATCACAAGACAGTGAATAATCAAATTATTTTATTTTTTTAAAAAACTATACCTGGAGTGTCTTTAATTTCATTGTTTATTTATTTATTTTTTTTTGCTTTCTCCTTCCTTTATACCCCAACTCCCTAAGTTCATTTGATACCATTTATTCATTTTGTGAGTTTTAAGATGGGGATAGTTTTAAGATGGGAAAACCAGACTCCAAAAAACACCAATTGTTACATTCAGAAAAATTATATTCTTCTTGAAATCTAGTCCATGCAGCCAAAGAATACAATTTCATATCATCAGTAGTACATTTTTGTAATAAGCATTATCCTTTTATACAATATTAATACAAATCAATTTTCTTCTGACTAGTCTATACACCCCCGAGTTATATACTTTCTATAATGGATTTTCTGGAATATTAAATAATGTTCCGAAGTTTTATTCTTAACAATTAACTAAAATGTTTGAAGAATTATTGATCCATGATTTATCAAATTTATAGTAATCTACTTTCAGGTTCATTATTTTCATGACAAAGCTGCAAAACAAATTATCAGAACATTTTATTTTGTCTTATCTTAAGTGTAGCAGTTAAGAGCATGGACTTTGCTGTCATGTAGCCTGGATTTGAATCCTGGTTCTACCACTTATTAGATGTGCAAGTAAGGAAATTATATAAATGTTCTAAATCTCAGTTTCCTCATTTTTAAAATGTGGATATTAGTACCTAAAAGTTTTTGTGCAGACTATGGAGATATAGCTCCTCAGCAATGTCTGACAGGTAGTAAATTCTTAATAAATGGTAGCTATTAATAATAATAAACAACATAATGTGTAGAAATGATAAGCACAATATTGGACTGAAAAAAAACATTATATTACAACTTTTAAAAAATTACTCCTTATAGTTTTTAATGCTAAAATGAATCCAGGAAAAAAGATTAATTGTATTTTGTAAGACTTGTTTTCTTTAGTTTATCTCTTCCAAATAACTTGATTTTTAATATCATGTTAAACAAAAGAAATTAAGCCAAATAAAAATGAGAAGTAAAACCATGTTATGTGTATGCATGTATATACATACAAACATGCATACACACACACACACACACACCCGTCTTTAATGTGCTATATACAATCTGAAGAAGTTGTATAGAAACATGAGAAAAAAGTTGAAAAGTAAACAGGAAGAGCCACAAACTACAATGAGAGTAACAGGGTATACAAATGCAGGTAAATTTCCAAGTTCAACTATTTAAACAATTTATTCAGAATCACATTATTATCAGAAAAATATGCTGTAATTCTTCTGGTCATTACTCTAGAGAGATACATTGACAAATCCAGAAAAGTTGCATGTTCTCATTCCTTCTTCTCAATGAAGGCAAAACAATTTCTGTTTTTCTTTAAACAAAACCAAGTTGCTACCACAGTTACTACTACTAAAGATTTCTAAAGCATATAATGTTTGATAATGTAATTTCTGTTAAAATTTCATGCGAAATCACAAAAGGTTTCTACATTACCAACTCTTACTACCCAAATATAAAATAAAATTCTGTTTCGGAAACAGACTTGGGTTTTTGAAAACATGTTCGTTTTCAAAACACTAATGGCACAAGACACTGGGGTGGAAGGACATAAGGATTCTGTAGTCAAATAAGTTGAAGTCTGGAAAATGCTGCATTTTTCTCTCTTAGAGATTCATAACACTATTAACAAGAAAGGTTCTGAGAAGGCCTGCAGCAAGCAGAGCTATTTACAATTTTTAACCAGTGTTTCCCAAAATTATTTGGCCACAGAATTCTTTCTTTCAGGGTAATGCCAAGGAATAAACATTCCTCATAACAACTTATTTTGGAAAAAGTATAATAAATTCCCATTGATTAGTTATTAAACATGTAATTTATTATTATTATTACAGATTTAGGGGGTACAAGTGTAGTTTTGTGTTTTGTTATGTGGTTAAGTCTGGGCTTTTTTCTGTAACCATCACCCAATTAGTATATATTTGTAGTACCCGTTAGGTAATTTCTCATCCCACACTCCCCCGCCACCCTCCCACCCTGTCAAGTCTCCAATGTCTATTATTCCACTTTCTATGTCCATGTGTACACATTATTTAGCTCCCACTTATAAGTGAGAACATGAGGTATCTGACTTTCTTAGACATGAATTTCACGTGCACCTGTCTCAAAAAGGTAGTGATTGCTAGAATTTGTTTAAGTCCTAAAATGTGCCCATTGTATTTCACGTCAGAAAAAAAAAAATCTAACATGCCTAGACCAGCATTTATATACTATGTTGTATACTTAAGTTGTAGTTATTTCCAGAATATGTGTTTCGACCCCCTTACAGCCTGTATGTTATTTAATCAAATCCAAACACTCAGTTTCTACTACCTGTGAAAAGCTAAAAATAAATGTGATCCTCCAAGCCACTGCTTTTCTTTCTGGGGTTCTCTGTAAGCTGAGAAAACCCTGCAGCTGTGAGCTACTGCACACCTTCAAATATGAGAATTCAGTTACAGCATTTTATTAACTGGTGGTATGAGCCTGCATTTATGCAATTCTATAATAAAATAATAAATGTTCTACAACATTAATCCTGAAGCAAAGTAGTGATTGATTATTACTTCATTCCCTTAACATCCCCCTAACACCTCTATTAAGTATATAGAACAAAATACTGTAATTACTACTTTACCTATGGAGGTTGAGCAACTTGCCCCAAGTACCAATAGCCAGCAGGGACCAATTTCTTGTTGGACAGACACTGTGCATATTATAACTATAGAAACTGTATCAGATAATCACCCTAAAATATGAACAAAAACAGGAAATTCCTTTACTAATAGCTTATTATTTAAGGAATTTTCTTCTTTTGAAATAATTTTGGAACACAATTTGCTAGAAATCTAAACTTAAACCAAAAAAAATCAGATGGCATGCAAGATAGCTTTTTGTGAGTTCATAAATTAAGAACAAAGTCTTCACAACTGTAATGAGACATTCGTTACTTTATCCTTGTGTTAGATGAAACAAAATAAGCAAGCTACACAATTAATTCTGGGTGAAGTGTGAATGTGAACAATTATGCTGTCAGGGTATGGCATCACTTTCTTCCTAGGTTTTCCCTTCAATTTCAAAAGTACATAAAAGAGTAATGAATTGTATAAGATGAAACAGATATCAACTATTTTTAAGATGCTTAATAGGGAAGAAACAATGACTATTACTATAGAAATAATATATTTTGGCAACCCATGGACATTTGGTCACTGATTTTCAAGTTATACAAAATAAGCTGGCCACTAGAATAAAAAAAAAAAACTTCAAACCATCTATGGCAGAACACATATAATCACAGCATTTTATATTATGATAATATACAGTAATAACATTTTACCAGAGATAGGGTAAATGGTCAAAGAAAAGGAAAAACCTGACATGAAAGGAATCAAGAATGTTGAAAATTCAGTAAAAGAAAAAGAGTTAAAAGTATTAGGTTCAAGTTCCATAAGCTTTTTTTTTCTTAATGTAAAAGCAGAGGTAACAAAAATTGGTCTTCACCTGGTAAGTGTGTACTCCCTGAGTCCTGAATGCAAATTCATGGCAGAAAAAGTACCTATGCATCCACGCAATCTTTTGTCTCGACCAATCTTCCATGTTACAAACAGTGGGCTGTAATGGAAGATAAAAATAGGGTAAATCAATCAATTCAATTTAAGCAAGTATTTATTGAATACTGACTATATTCTAGATTAGGTGCCTGAGACCAAAAGACAGGCCCTCAAGGGGCTCAGAGGCTAGCCCAATAGGACTGCATTTAGCAAAAATTATATTACATTGTGTTGAGTGTGTTCTATATGTTAGGAACCACAATAAATGTTTTAAACAAATTATTTATATTAATCCTCATCAACAACTCTAGGAGGCTGATACGAATATTCCTATTTACAGATGAGTTAGTCCAACAGTTGAAACGTAATGAAGTAGGTACTCGAACCTGGGCAATCTTGACTATAGAGCCTTAACCATCATGGCTGGACTACCTGAGTCCTCATTCAAACCTCAAGTTACTGATTTGTAAACCTAATTTAGAAAACCAGGGGAAAATATCAACAATTTTAATAAATGCTTCCTGAAAATATAGGAGCTATGTACTGTGAAAGGTGCTACAAGAATGCCTAAAACAGCTGGCTCTCTAAGAGCCAGTACAAAGAGGCAGGCATGTTCACAGCTAACTAATACAAGGCAAAAGGAAATAAGTACTATAAACTATGTCCAAAATGCCATTAATTAAGCTACTGGGATAGAAGAAAATTTCATCAAGCTTGATAATCTTTAACTTGGTCTAGAAAAATGAATAGGATTCAGAGAGGTGAAGGGCAACAGCAAACATTAACAAAATAATACTCTTAAACCAGAAAATTTATTTTTAGATAAAAGTGTTACCTATAAATACAATCTCTCAAGCATCAAAGAGCAAAGTATCAATTATAATAAAATGGAATCAAGAATAATGTGGTTTTAGATGAAGTTTAATACAGTAGATGTTTGGATTCTGCAGCAAACCACTGACAGCCTCAATTAATGGTAAAGTCTAAAACAATCATGTTCTAATTAGAAGCAATTTTGTATGTCAGTTTTGTGAAATAAAATAATTTACTCATTTTAGGACATTTTGTAAAAAGATAAATAACCTACAGTTGGGGATGGTCTGTGTTAATATGAGTACTCACAGTAATACTGGTATAATACATTTCTGCTTTCTAAAAATTTAAATTTTAGGCGGACATACCATATGTTACTTTTCTTCTAATACACTGGTGAGTTGGAGAACAGTCTTTCTTTAAAATACTTTCTAGTGAGTCATAAGCAGTTGGATGAAAAGTTATTCAAGCACTTCAATCACCCACCTCAAACATTTAAATTATGCTGAGTTCTGACAGCCACAATGGCAGATAGGTTCCCAAATAAATAATGTATACAAACCAGGGAGGAAAACTAAGAGTTACCTTCTTCCAAGAGCCAAATGTCCAGTAGCATTCAAAAAGATGACTAAAGTATAAGACCAAGTTACTGTCAACGTTAGCATTCAAGTAAGAAATGACCTACACTAAAGGTGCTAAAATAAAAAGCAAATGGCCAGGTTTTCTGCTTTCTATATCATGTGTACTAAGCATAACTTGAGACAAGATTCTAATGCTCCATTTAGAAATTTTCCTCTTATTGCTCTTGACCAACAGTTTTCAGGAAGACAAGAATTAAATGGGATTATTTTCTCACCGATTCTTTCATTAGTCACACAAATACTAGTATCTTAAAATTTACACCCTATCTTGAAAGATGAATTTCACCATTTCATTTTTCACTTTCTAACTTAATAGAGTCAATGTCAGCAATCATTTTTATGGACAGTAAAATATCAATCCTCTCCCATAACAATGGCTATACAAAGTATCTCCATGTAAGACAGGTCCTTTGGCAGCTTCAGAGTGAAGTGAATCATACTATATGTAATAATGTGTCTTTAAAATACCATGATGGCTTCTTAATAACACAGGACTAACTATGTTGTATATTCTCTTCTTCAGTGACTTGAGTGAGAAACCTAACAGTGTGAGTGAATTCATTCCGTATCAAAAACACTAGAAAGTCATTTAAAAGTACTTTACCTTCAATTATCTTATTTATCCCACTAAAATATATACATACATCATTCTTATTATAATATAACCTTATCTGATCAAGTAAACATTCAAAATTTAAAGGATGCATAGAAAGAGAACACACACTAAACACTATACTATGAAATATGTTGGGGGCCACTCAAACACATGGTGGGGGGAATTATAGACAGTTTCTTATAATGCTGTGCTATCACTGATGAGGAAATAATTAATTCAGAGCTTAAGGTGCTAGAAAACAAGCTGCATTTTGCAAGGCAGCTTGGGGAGCAAAGGTGGGCCACAATAAGCAAGGGGATGGAGATGTAAAAGTACATAGCTCATTCAGGAAACAGGAAGTAGTCTTAACAGTCTTGATAAGTTGCTATGGTCTCTTCCAGATTTAACATTCTTTGAATTTTAGGCACTGTTGAATATGTGTTCTCAAGAGCCTTCATAAGAGGTAGAGCAGATGCAGAATCATCTATACTCTCCCTGTTCCTTACCTGCCCCAGGCAACATCCAATTTGGGGATTGGAATTGCGAGAAACTATCTGTGTCAAAGATGGGAGGGAGTGCTACTCGATAACCCTACTGTGTTTAGGACAGATGCCTGAAGATGGAAGAAATCAGACTTTTAGTAGACAGAATAAAACTATTCCTTAAAAACCTGGGACTCTAATTTCTCATTTATAAATGCTCATTCACCATCTTTTATAAAGAACACATTTGTGGAATTAAAAACAACCAAAATACCTAAAAGCAACATTTAATGAGGTAAAGAACCTCAGAAGTTAAGCATTTTGAAGTAGATTGAAACATACTATAATTAACATTACTGAGCACGAGAGATTGCATCTTGTGTGTGATAACCACTTTGTACGGGGAAATGACTACAAGAACATTCAATACATATTATCTAAAAATAGCAACAAAATTTTTTTTCTTCACCCAACACACAGAGAGAAGAAATAGGCAATTTCATTCTTAAATGTGCTATTAAAACATGTATGAGTTCCCAAAAGGATGTAAGACATCAGCATAATCACAGACAGATCAAAGTAGAAAAAGGGTTTTGAGCCTGTTGAGAGGAGCTGCTCAATGACAAGGAAATACGGAGAACAGTTCATAGTAAGACAAGACTGAATGTTTTGAGGAAATGCTTTTGCCATATGGTTTGAGGCCACCTACATAATATTGAAAAAACACTACAAACTAGACAGGGGCTCCAAATGAGATGAAATATTAATGGAAATGTTTATCTGAGGGTAACTAGACATAGCTTTTTAAGGAATTTTCCTACTTCTGAACATTTTGTACCACTATGTTCTGAGAAACCTTTAGAGAAAAGTAAACTCTCCATTTTTCCAAGTCTGTAGACAGGAACAGGAAGTAACCACCTAATCTAGGTGAATCCTCCCTGCCAACTGGCAGCCAATACTGTCAGGTCAATAGTAGCTCTCAAGGAAACATAGTTGCATGGAATCAACAAAAGAACAAAAGGCAATGTCAATCTAAACAGGACACTCCCATCTATTTATGTGAGCCAGAACAGATTAGAAACATGTCTGTGGGAGTCAGGTACAATTAGATGATACAATGAAAAGGGTATGTTTAGTTAACAATATTTTACCTTAAATCCTATCTCTCCTGCCATACCAAGGCAAAAACAGAAGTTAAAAAAATAGCGTTGACCACTGCAAGCCTCCATTCTGCCAATTGCTCTTCTTTAGAATGAGATTTATTGGTGGCAACATTAACAAAATAATATTAACCCTTTGCACTCGCTTGCTTTTTTCTCGATTCCTTTATTCTACTTGGGATTTAACTTTTTAAATACCCCAGATTTTACAAAGCGTGGCGGTAGAATAAAAAACTGGAGTTTCTTTTCATACAAACTTATTTATTTGGATTTTTTTATATTTCAAATTATTGATACATTCAAAGAGTAATTTTAATCTCCATAATTTTTGCTAACCGTGTTGAGTCACACTCGACATCTGAGTGCGAAGGGTTAACCCCTACCAGTATAGTAAGAATTTACTATAACAGGGATACTCAAGGTTATTTATATTGGAGGGAGACACAGGAAAAGAGAAAAGCCCTGTAGCTTGGTTCTTTTCTTCTATCGCCAAACAATGATTGCTTCTCAACTGTACTCAGGTTCCTCAGCAACTTAGCTCAAAAATCCAACAATATAGCTCATAGTGTCCAACTAAACTTGGTACTATAATTCCCGAGGATCTAGAAGCTTAGATAAAAACAGAAATAGTAGTATCTTCTTTATACCACCAGGTAAAAACCTTTCACTTCAACAAAAAGAAGCTATATATTTCATATCCAAATCATATAAACTATGGATTCAATTCATAAAAACATACCTAATATGGTTAAATCTTGTAATAGTTTGAGCTGCCATAGTAAAATACCCTAGATGGGGGGAGCTTGACAATAGAAATTTATTTTCTCACAGTTATGGCGGCTAGAAAGTCCAAGATTAGGGTGCTAAAAGGGTTCAGTTCCTGGTAAAGGCTATCTTCCTGGCTGGTATATAGCCACTTTGACCTCACCATAGCCTTTCCTCTGAGCGTGTGCAGGGAGGGAGAGAGAAAGAGAGAGAGAGAGAGAACTCCCAGTGTCTCTTCTAAGGACACTGATCCTATTGGATCAGGGATCCATCTTTATGACTGCATTTAAATTTAATCACTTCCTTATAGGTTCTATCTCTAAATACATTCACATTAGGGGTTAGGACTTGAACATATGAATCTGTCTATAACAAATCCCTAACAAAAACTTTAGTACATAGTTTAAAGTTTATATAACAATGTATCTAAGGCCATTAGCTAAGATCTATTTCCTTTTACAGGTGAAAAACAAAAACAGATCCAGGGAAACTAAGTGCAGAATCATCAGCCATTTAGTGCTAGAACCTGGCAAGTTCTCCAAATTTTCTTACTATCGATTTAATATGGTTCTTTTTTCCCCCACTATGGGAAAAAATTGTGAGTA